CCAGAAATGTCAACATCTCCTTTGGGCAGGCTCACATCCACATCTGGCCCCTCCCCCTTGAAGCCTGGCATGCTGAACTTGGGCATTTTCACTTTGGGCATCCTGAGGTTCCACTCTGGCCCGTGGAGTTCCACATCTGGGGCGCTGACATCCATTTTGGCCCCTTTCAGTTCCACATCTGGAACTTTCCCCTGGCCTTCTACTTTGGGAGAGGTCACATCATATTCTCCCTTCACCTTGGGGCCCTTCAAATGTAAGTCTGGCATGGAAATCTTTGGGGCCTTGAAATTCATCTCAGGCATCTTAAACTTGGGACCCTTCAGTTTCCCTTCTGGGACCTCCACATTCACATCTGGAGCTTCAATATCCACTTTGGGCCCAGAAATATCAATGTCTGCCTTGGGCAAGTTCACATCCACCTCAGGGCCCTCCCCCTTGAACCCTGGCACGCTGAATTTGGGCATCTTCATCTTGGGCATCTTGAGGTTCCATTCTGGCCCGTGGAGCTCCACATCTGGGGCGCTGACATCCACTTTGGGGCCTTTCAGATCCCCTTCTGGTTTTGGAATGGTCACATCATATTCTCCCTTCACCTTTGTACCTTTCAGGTGCATATCTACATCTGGCATGGAGAGCTTTGGGGCCTTGATATTCACATCTGATACCTTGACACCAGGCCCTTTCACTTTTCCTTCTGGGCCTTCAAGGTTGACTTGTGGGGCTGCAATGTCGATGCTGGGCCCTGAAACATTAATGTCTCCCTTGGGCAGGCTCACATTGACCTCTGGCCCCTCCCCCTTGATCCCTGGCACACTAAACTTGGGCATCTTCATCTTGGGCATATTCAGGTGCCACTCAGGCCCGTGGACATCCACATCCGGGGTGCTGACATCCACTTTGGGGCCTTTGATGTCTAGCTCAGGGCCTTTGACTTGCCCTTCTACCTTCGGGGTGGCAATGTCCACCTGGCCCTTTATTTTGGGGGCACCTACATTCAGATCGACATCAGCCATGCTGATTTTGCAGGTCCCCATTTTCCCAGATGGGCTGCCAATCTTGGGCCCAGTCAGGGACCCCTCTAGGCTGGGTACCTTTATGTCCACTGTCGGCTCTTTCATGGCTACCTGAGGACCTTTTAAATCCCCTTGTATTCCCGGACCTGACACCTTCATATCCCCTTTCAATTTCGGGGACCTGAGGCTGAGGTCTACATCCTGCATGGAGATTTTAGGTTTCTGAATCATCATCTCTGGGGTCTTGAATTTAGGGTCTTTGATTTTCCCCTCAGGCCCACTGATGGACGCTTCTGGCAAGCTGACGTTTCCAGTGATACTGGGAAGGTTCACTTCTCCCTTGGGCAATTTTATATCCACAGCAGCTCCTTCCCCTTTGGAACCAGACACAGAAAACTTGGGGACTTTCATCTGAGGCATTTTCAGTTTTCCACCAGCCCCAAGAGGATCAATTTCTGGAGCTCCAAGTTCCACGGTAGGGCCTTCGATGCCAACGTGTCCTCTGGATGCGGAGATGTCCAAGCCTCCAGCACCCAGAAGCTTTGCCCCTTTTGGGCCAAGGTCGCCCTCCAATGCTGGGGTGGTGATTGTAGGACCCTTCAGCTTCCCTTTGACTCCCTCAACATGGACATATGGAGCTATGACTTCCATTTTAGGGCCCTGGACATTTCCGCTCACTGCCAAACCTGAACCATCACCCCCAGGCCCCACAGAGATGCCTGGTGAGCAGATGCCCAGGCCTGCCTCTGGGCCCTGGACCTCAGGTCCTGCTGCTGGGAAGCCAAACTTGGGTAACTTCATGGTGGGAATGTTGATGTTATCTATGGATGGGCGCTGGAGATCAGCAGTCCCGCCTCCAAGTGAAGATGAAACTTCCACTCCTGGAACCTGGACCCCAGGGCCAGTGACAGATCCTCCCTTGCTTCCTAAGCCAACAGAAGCAGGGACATTGGTATGAACAGAGACTTCTGGCTTTCCTTCCACCTTTAGGCCCTTACCGCTACCGCCAACACCCAAGCCTTGCAGCTGGATCCCAGGTGTGGTCACCTGGACCTTGGAGTGGCCAGCACCAGGTGTCCCAACCCCTTGGAGCTCTGGTCCGGTCGCCCCAAAGTCAACACTGTAGCCTGTGGTCTGAATAGTCGCCCCAGGGCTTTGCGGCAGACGGATCACGGTCTTCCCGTGCTCAGTCTCCACGTCCATCTTGGAGATTTCTGTCAGCTCATGCCTTGGAATCTTGATCTTGAACTCGGGACTGTTGATGTCAATCTCTCTGGCCCCCTCTCGCCCTGTCACATCCACTGTGTAGGCCGTGACCTTTCTGGTCACTGTGATGGTGCGGCTCTGGGTCTCCCCAGGCTCGCTGCCTTCCGCCCCGTCCTCTGACTTCAGTCGAGGCTTGATTTTCGTGGTGTAGATCCGCTGGTATTCCTCATCATCCCCGCTCTGCAGAAAGAGACACCGCAGCAAAGGTTGCAGCTGAGCCTGACTGAGTCTGCCACGATCCCTGCCAGAGGCCAGCCAACCACCTGGTCTCCTGACCCCTGGATGCATGGCCCCTCACGGAGCCCCGCAGAGCCCGTGGGGAGATCCTCCAGGGGACAGAGCAGAGGGTGGGCTAGAGGGTGCTACTGGAGAGAAACGGGAGCCCAGGGGAGACCCTGACGTGGCAAGACAAGAGCAAATTGGGAAAGAACCAAGGGAGAAGAGGTTGTTGGGAGGAGGTGGTATCTGAGAGAAAAGAAAACTCGTATCACTGTGCAATCTAACCAATGTCCACTACCGATCGGCAAAAAAAAAAAAGAAATGAGGAAATTCTAGTCAGCTGACCCGATACGGCCAGAACCAGAGACACTGTCGGGCACTAAATGACAGGCCTATCCTGGCCGAATGCCAAGAGAGGTCTGCTTAGTTTGGACTAGGGGACGAGTCGTGTCGCAATTTGCATTTTTGTGGCTAAATATTAGGTTTATGAGGAGAGTGCAAAAGTGCCCCTACATTGTTAAGCCACTGGCTGGCTGCTGAATGTGACCACATGTCCCCCATTTCTCCTCTCGCGCACCATGCTGGCTGGCAGACGCCCTGGCTTCTCAGAGGTCGTGCCCATAGAGCCCAAGCTGCAGCAAGTCCACGCTGGAAAGTCATCAAGTATGGGTCCCAGGATGTCAGGGTTTTTTGTTTTGGGAGCGTTGGGGGTATTGGGGTTTTGGTTTTTATTTGGGGGTTGCCTTTCTTTGTGAGCCCAATGCCTGGCAAATAGTAGGGGCTTAATTAACTCTTCTTAACTGACTAATTAACCCAGCCAAGCTCAGCTTTGGCCACAGGGGACCTCTCAGCCCAAGTCACTCTTGAAGACCGCTTCCTACACTGAGAAGGGCCAAGATCTGTGTTGGGGGATGGGCTCCACATGGATGAAACCACAGCTCCCCAAAACATCCAAACAAGTAGATCACAAGTGGCAGGCCATCTGTGGGACAGTGGATGACCACTGGAGATCCTCCCAGGACCAATATGGAACCAACATCTAAATGACTGACCTTCTGTAGGAGAGGCTCATGGACAGAAGCATGAGGCTTCCAGCCAACAAGGTTAGGAGTTGCTCCTGAACTGGCTGTGTTTTGGATAGTCTACAGATGTACATGTTGCCTCTTCTAATGGAATATAAGCTTCCTGAGGGCAGGGACTTTCATTGTAGTCATTCTATCCCCAGCACTAGCACCTAGTAGGAGCTGCTTAAGAAATGCTTATAGCTCATCTGTTGATTGATTAAAGTGTGTATCAGCTGTAGCTCCAATGGGGCACCCTTTGAGATTAGGACAGGCCAGTAAAGTGATCACATGAGCATGGCAGGGCCAAGAAGAGGGTGAGGAGAGAGAGACGGATGAAGGGGACGGAGAGCAGGGCCTTGGCGCCCGGGGGGAGCTCAGTGGGCAGGGTCCAGAGAGATACTCACCAGCACCACCTCGGAGCACCGGGCGAAGGCGCTGTCATGGGACCAGGACTGGCCGGGCTCTGGGGAGCGGTCTCCCTTGCGGTGCAGCTTCAGACCCACCGTGTGGTGCCCCATGGTATTCAGAAGCTGTGTCACCTCACCCGACTGCAGATTGTCGAAGTAGATGGTGGCCCCCACAATCTGGTCCCCTGGAGCAGAAGTTACAGGAAATGAGCCCAAGAGCTGCAGGCGCTGGGGGAGGGGGGCAATTCCCGGAGGCCTCCGGAGCCTCTCCCTCTGTCGCGGGTGCCCACCCCGAGCCCCACTTCTCTTCCTGGCCCATCCCCCTGCCCGGGAGCAGCCGGCTCTTACCCTCCTTGACCACACCCGTGCGTGCCGCAGGGGAATTCTGCACCACTTGCTGAACAAAGACGCCATCATCCGTCTGCTCGATGGTTAGGCCGTGGGAACCGCTGCCCTGCCAGTTGGGCAACAGCAGCTCCCTCGTGGGCTCTTCTTCCTTCTCCATCTGCAGCATCAACGAGATGGGCACAGGGTGATCAGGACAAAGGGTCTGCCCTGGCTAAGAGTTCCAGTTCAATTCGACAAATGTTTATTAAGCACCGGTGCTGGGAGTACAGAGACAAAAGTGAAAGGGTCCCTACCCTCAGGGAGCTTCTGTTCTTCTGATGCAGGAACTCTACTGACCGAGAGCCCCTCCCCCCCCCACCAGGAGATGTGATGGTTGTGATATGCTAATAGGATCTCGGAATGTAGAAGTGAGTGAGGTCTTGAAGGGGCGGGGTGGCGTAATGGACGGAGAGCTGGCCTCAAACTCTAGGAAGATCTGGGTTCAAGTTCTGTCCTTGACCCAGACTGGCCGTGTGGCCCTGGACAGGTCACTTAAACTCTCTACCCTCTAGGCAACTAAGACCAAAAGTTGAAAAGGTGGCAACCTGCATCGGTAGAAGGAGTTGCCTCTTCTTGGAGTTCCCTGGACCAAGGGAATTGCAGGGCTGGTGGCCATCTCTACCCGTATGGGACTTCAGAAGCTATCCAGTCCAACCCAATCATTTTACAGATGAGGAAACTGAGGCCCACAAGGACCTGTAAAGCACACACATAATAATCTGTGTGCCTCTAGGACAATGAGCTCCCCCCCCTGTACAATGCCAGATCAGCACACACAGCAGCCCTCTCCAGCTCTTTCTCAACCATCGAGCTTACCAACCTTTCACAGAAATTTATTTGGGAGCGAAAGCCTTGCCAGGAACCCGCCCCTCCTTCTGCCTTTGCTCTTCCTCTTCGTCCTCTCACTCTGTCTTCAGGAATCTCCCTCCCACCTCATTAGCCTGCAAGAAAAATTGATAATGAGGTTAGCACTTGTGGCAGAATAAAATGGTGGACTTAAAGTCAAGAGTTGACTCCTCTCAGACATTTACTGGCAGTCACTTTCCCTCCCAGAGACTCAGTTCCTATATCTGTAAAATGGATACAATGCCTCTATTACAGGGTGGCTGCAAGCAAAGTTTTTCTATTTTGTTTTTTGCAACCCTTAGCATGCTATAGAAATGGGAATTATTATTTTCTGGACTCTTCTGCAACTGCCCCCAAGAAGAAGATGTCTTCAGTCAATCAGCCAGTCACTCATAAAGCTTTTATTAAGCATCTACCATGTGCCAGGCACGGTGCTACATGCCCAAGATAGGAAGACAAAAGTGAATCGGTCCCTGTCTTCAAGGAGCTTACGTTCCAAGAGGTAAGAAGGAAAACAAGCATGTACCTGTGTAAGTATAATATAAAAAATGTATCATATATGATTATATTATATATAACATAGTATAGTGCAGATAGTATATTAGTATAGTGTAAAGAGTATAGTATATATTTGATATATATTTGTATATACATACATATATGCATATTTCATATACATATATAATTAGCAATTGAGTGGAATCAAGAAAGCCTTCAGATAGAAGGTGAAGGAACTCAAGGATTCCCAGGGGCACTGGGAAAGGAGAGCATTCCAGGCATGGCAAAAGTCAGCAGTGCCAAGGCATAGAGATGGGTGATGAAGTGTCTTGTGACAGAAACGGTGAGAAGGCCAGAGTGACTGAATCAGAGTTTGTAGAGAAGGGTCACGTACAATAAAGCTAGGAAGGTAGGTCGGGGCCAAGTGGTGGAGGGCTTCTTTTAAAGACTAAAGAGAGCTGTTCATATTTGATCCGAGAAGGAGACATCAGGGCTGGCCATCCCAGACCAAACAGCTACATTGATACTGTCTTCCCATAACCAGTGCAGATATAGGATAACCTCTCAGTTCAAGGATGTTCAGGGACATATCCTATCAACACCAAGGGAGATTCCTATTGGGCTGAGGACAATATTGGTTCTGCCTTCCTAACCCCAGGATCTGGGTTACTATTTAGAAGTCCCACCCAAGACGATTCCAAAAGACTCATGACGCAAAATGCTATCTACATCCAGAGAAAGAACTATGGAGTCTGAATGCAGATCGAAGAATATTGTTTTCACTTTTTTTTGTTTTTTGTTTTCCATGGCTTTTCCCTTTTGTTCTGTTTCTTCTTTCCCAATATGAGTAATGTGGAAATATGTTTAACATGATTGCACATGTATAACCTAGATCAGATTGCTTGCCATCTTGGGGAGGGGGAAGGGGAGGAAAGGAAAAAAAATCTGGAACTCAAAATCTTATAAAAAATGAATGTCTTTACATATAATTGGAAAGAATAAAATACTATTTACTAAAAAAAAAAAAAAAGCCCCAGAAGTTCCATCTAGGTTTGATTAGAGGCAGCTGGGAGGCTCCGTGGCTAGAACACTGGACTTGGTGCCAAGAAGACCTAAGTGTGAATTCTGCTGCCAACACTTACTAGCCAGGTGACCCTGAGCAAGATGTTGAACCTCCCTCCATCTTGGTTTCCATCCAAAGTCCTTCTAGCTCTAAATATATGATCCTCTACATCACTTCATCCTGGGTCTCAGTTTCCTCTTCTGTAAAATGAGGAGGTCAGGCTCAGTGGCCTTCCAGCTCGAAATCGGGGCTGCTTTGAGCACTAGGAGCACTGGGACCCACAAGGATCCCAGGCTAAGCAGGGCTCTTTGGACTAGGAATGACCCATAGTTGGCCTGAGTTCCCCAGGGTCCAGGGACACAGAGACAGGCTCTTGGAGGCAATCCCCAAGCCAGGGAGACACTCCTCCAAACCTACAAGGCAGCAGCATCGGACTCAGGGATGCACTGAGGCAGATTCTGGCAGCCTTCCTGCATTGGGCAACGAGCCAGTGCCTCCCACCCCCATCCCTCCTGAGGGACCAGTCAAAGCCTCCCTCAGGCCCTAAACAAGATAAGCTGTAAACCGAAGGAAGTGAGACCCAGAGCGCCAAGGGACTTCACCACTTTATCATTCTGTGACCTTCTGAAAGTCATGCGCTTTCTCTAGGCCTCAACTTCCACATCTGTAAAATGAAAGACTCAGACTCAAAAATCAGATCCCGGCTTTAGAGCGGGAAGACACCTCAGAGATCATCTAGTCTGACTCCCTCATTTCACAAAGGAGGAAACTGAGGCCTCAGTGGAAGTAACTTGCCCCCAGTCAGACAGGCACAGACAAGTAGCACAGCCAGGATTTCTTTCCACTGCACCATTAATCAAAAGACAAATGTTTATTGAGACAAGTCCAAGCATCCGTCACTGTATGGGGTGGGGGGTGGGGGGGTTTCCTAAGACAGAGTTTATTATGGTATGTAAATAACAGCATAAAAGCATATTGTTTAAAAAAAAAACCTTCTCCTTGAGGAAATCCCAATCACCTAATCCTGGGCACCTAGCAGGTGGCAACTATGGCAGCATGTGTGACAAGAACATCATCCTAATTCTTTGAAGAGGTGGGAGACTCCAGGTGTGAGAGACCACATACAACATCAGAATTTTTCTTTTTCTTTTTTTTTTTTTGGTGAGGCAATGGGGTTAAGTGACTTGTCCGGGGTCACACAGCCATTAAGTGCAGAATTTTTCAATGTGTTGTGGGGTTTACTCTTTTTTATTCTTTGTTACAGGAAATGGTTCCTTGGGAAGAGGAGGAAGGTTATATTAGGAAATGCTGATGATGTGAAGACAAAAGATGCAAATAAAAATTGATTTTAAAAAGGAAAGAGCCTAACATTGAACTTGGAGTTAGAGGATCTGGATTCCAATTGGGGGCTCTCAGATCCCCCAGAAATCCTCTGAGTAGTATTTGTGAGCCTAGGAAAGCCATTTCAACTCTGCCGAACCTCCTCCAGTGCCCCGCCTCCATCGCAGGGCCGCTGGGAGTGCCTCCGTCCAACGGGACGCACTTGGTAAAACCCCAATCACCCCATTACAGCTGATCATGCTTAAAGGCCCTGACGGGTTATGGAGGCCAATCCCCTCATTGGGGAGAGGTCCAGGGAAGAGGAGGAACCAACAGAGGGTCCCACCCAGATTCAGCCGCAGAGCCTGGCATCTGAACCCAGACCCAGTATCTCAGAACCCTGATTCCTGATCAGCACTGCATGGCCACGTCAAGCGGATCCCCAATGGCGATGGATGGAGAGAAGAAAGACACACACATACACACACACACACACACACACGCACACACACACACACACGCACACGCACACGCACAGCCCAGGTGATTTACAGGTGGAAGGTGAGCTGACTGTTCCCACTAGGGGACTGGGTGACCTGCCTAGGTAGATTAAGAAGGTTCCAGGCACTCTCTTCACTGGCAAGAAGACAGGAGGAGAGAGGGTGGAGGGAGGAAGGAAAGGGACAGAGAGAGGGAGAGACAGAGAAACAGAGAGAAAGATGAGGGAGAGACAGAGAGACAGAGAGAGATGAGAAAGAGAGAGACAAGAAAGGAGAGAGAGAGAGACGAAGAGAAGAGAAGGAAGAATAGAGGGAGGAGAAATATATAGACAGAGATAGAGAGCGATGGGACCCAAACAACAGGCTGACTGAGCGCCAAACCCTGAGGCCAAGGAGCCCAGAACACACCCACAGCTGAACCCCTCCCCACAGAACTGGGACCCGCTTAGGGACTCAGTGGCTGCCTGCCCAGTACATACGAACACTCTTGGACCCTTTTCTCAATTCAGGATCCTGGTGCTGAGCCAGTCACTGAAGGGGGAGGGGGAAAGGGAAAGGGTGGGGGGGAACAGAGGAAGAAAGAGGAGAGAGAGAGGGAGGGGGGAGGAGAAGAAAAAAAAGAGAGAGAGAGAAAGTGCTCTCAGTCACCCATCTCTGCCCCACCCTCCCTCCCTCCTAGCCTCATGAGTCACAGCAGCCATCACAGCTCCAGACATGCAGAGGTCACGCCTGGAATGGCATCACCAGGGCCCTTTTGGGGGGCTAAGGTCCATGGTGGGAGAAGGGTGGGTCCAGAGCCGTTGCTGCTCCAGCCAGAACCAAGAAGAGAACAGAATGGACTAGAGGTGCCTCCCTTCCCCCTCCCCTCCCAGTAAAGCCCTGGGGGAGCATGACCCAGGACTGCCCCTGAGGTGTCAGTATGGGCCGGGAAGGCTCCCTCGGGTGAGACTTTTGTCCCTCCATCCAGACCCACCCCAGCACCTTGGGAGCCAGAGTCGTTGTGCCTGAGGCTACAGGTTGGCCTTGGCAGAGCCCTCCCCTGGTGCTGCCAACAATCCGGCCGTACCTCCTCTGAATCAAGCTGGGCCAAGGAGAGGCCGGCAAACTGAGGCCCTTCTAGGAGGTGGGTTTAGGCCTGGAGAGGCAGCTGGGCAGAGTGAGAAGAGGCCTGCTTCAGCAGCCAAGAGGATACGAGTTTTAATCCTGGCTCTGAGCTTATTAGCTGGAGGAGCTTAGGAATCTCCTGGCCTTTCTGGGCTTCAGCTTTCTCCAGTGTAAAATAAATATGTTGGGCCAGCTGAGCTCTAAGGAACCTCCCAGCTCCACGCCTACAGACGGACACCATCAGTCACCAATTTCCACATCTGCTCCCATTCCAAAGTCTCTCTCCCACCCCCTGCTTGGGCCCTGTCCCATCCCCAGCTTCTCCCCTGAGCACTGGACCGACCCAGGCTTGTTCAGGGGCTGCCCGAAGGCAGGGGCTGTGACTGGGGGCGGGAGAGGGACAGAAGACCCCGCAGAAAAGCCACTGAGGTAAATGTGGCGTCCTTGAGGGCAGAATTTAGAAAGAGCCTGCTCTGGGCACAGAAAAGAAGGGCAGAGGCCAGGAAATACAGGGAGGGAGGTGTCATTTTAGCTCTAGGCTGGAGGGGAAGAAAACCTATGAGCGAATGGAAAGGTCCCCACTGAGTCTGAGGGGACCTTAAGGCCTGTA